ATTATGCAGTCATATGTGAAATTATCATGTATTTTTTTGATACCTATAGGGAGAAATATTAGACAGTCCTATGTGAAGATACGGAGTTTGCCTGATATGCTTACATATTTTGTGAATAGATCATAATATACCTTTTTAATGGGATATTTATGAACTTTCAGCTTTACTAACTAAGGTCTGACATACTGGCAGTGGTTCGGTTCAGTTCAGTTCCTGGTGGATGAAAAACCAAACGTGAGCCAACAGCATGCTCTTGCAGCTCAGAAAGTAAATGGTATCCTGGGTTCCATCAGAACAGGGATGGCCAGCAGGGACAAGGCGATATTTGTGCCTCTCTACTCTACCCTCCTGAGGTCCCATCTGGAGTACTGTGTCCAGGTCTGGGGCTTCCAGTACTGGAAAGACAGAGAGCTGTTGGAGAGGTCCGGAAGAGGGCAACAAAGATAATCAGCTGGAGCACCTCCTCTACAAATACAGGCTGGGGGAGCCGGGCTTGTTCAACCTGGAGAAAGAAGGCTGCAGGGTGACTTCATTGCAGCCTTCCAGTACCTAAAGGGAGCCTATAAACAGGTGGGGAGTCAATTCTTTACAAGGGTAGATACTGGCAGGACAAAGGAAAATGGTTTTAAATTGAAGGAGGGAAGATTTAGGTTGGATATCAGAGGGAAGATCTTTACCAAGAGAGTGATGAGGTGCTGGAACAGGCTGCCCAGAGAGGTTGTGGGTGCCCTGTCCCTGGAGGTGTTCAAGTCGTGGTCAGCCTGGTCAAGTATTAGATATGGAGGTTGGTGGGCCTGCTGCGGCAGGGGGGTAAGGGCTTGATTATCCTTGAGGTCCTTTTCAACCAAAGCAATTCTGTGATTCTGTGATTCACTAGGAGGAGGTCATAGTGGACACCAGTCAGTTCATTCTGTGTACTAGTGGCTTAGAACTGAGATTAAGAGGAAATCCTCTCACATTGGGATACATAGAAATCTTTGTTAGGCAATCCATGTTCTTCTTTTTTCTTATTAATAGCTTGTTAAAGAATAATCCTTTGCCAGCAATAGGCATGTTAGTTGTGTCAATTTCGATAGTAAAAGTTTTGTTCCAACGCCATGGAAAGGAAAAGATTTCAACGAATGTTCCTCTGCTCCAGCACAACAAATTACATTTTGACAACCTTATTTCTATTTTCATGTAATTATTAGTAGTCAATACTTGATGGCAATATTGCTTCAGCCAACTATTTGTTCAACCCCAACAATTGTACATTCAAGCCATTATCACTTAAATATGATGGAATATAGACGGCAGAAAATATGTCCACCTGAAAAAGCCTATTTTGTTCGTATTACCAAAATAAGAGAAACTTGGAAGGATTGCCAGCCCAGTTCCCTCTGGTTGACATCCCTTCCTCATTTCATATCAACAGCACCAGTCAGGTTGATGTTATCAGCAAGCTCTCTGAGAGTACTGCCTGTGTCATTGATAAAGATGTTGAACAACACTGGTCCCAAAATAGACATCACTTAGGACTGGCTTCTACTTGGACACAGATCCATTGACTGCAGCCCTCTGGCTCTGACCATTCAACCAACTCTTTGTCCACTGAATAAACTGGCCTTCAAATCTGTATTTCTTCAATTTAGAGATAAGAATGTGGTGCGAAAACATGTCAAAGGCCTTGCACAAGTCCAGGTAGACATCATTGCTTCTCCTTTGTCCACTAGTGTCATCACTCCATCATAGAAGGCCATAGATGTTCTGATATAAACTCCAAATCCATTGCTTTCCAACTTTTCTGTGAGCAGCTGAACTGTGGCTGCTGATGGTTCCATTCAAAGGGTGAGAGATTTAGAGATGACTGGCTGTGGCTTATACAATGGAAGCCAGTTTAGTGTTTATTTTGAAATTTTATAGGAAAGTAAAATTCTGGCCTGTTTTTTTAATCCAAGCATTTCAGTCCATGTCTTCCTTTTATCTACTGCTGTGTCAACGATCTATTCAGTACAAATAAGAGGCCTTGTGCTGTGATTGGTCTGTGAGATTGCCCTATTTTTGAAACCCATCAATGCAACATGCACTTGTATACTCAAAGTGGTATTTTTCTGATACAGATATCAAGAAATCTTTGAAGCTTAAATAAGTAAAAAAAAAAAAAAATAAATTAGGCAATGAAGTCAAACAATGAAAGAAAATACGTTTTTTTTCCTTATTCTAGATTTATCTCAGTATTCTTGTCTCAGTCCTCAAAATATGAAGGATGATAGTTAGGAAATGAATGCAATACATGAAGTGCATATTTAACATCTATTTGGTTTCCAAAAAAAGAATTGCAGTATGGCTACCAGAAGCATAATGGTTTTCTGCTTAATGTATTTATGCTGGCTGTAAAATTAGGAACTGTCATTATAACCCCACAAAGCCTGAGCAAGTGCAAGACATGTAAATCAAGAGGTTCTACTGCTATAAAAATGTCAATGATCTGAATGGCTTGAAAGTATTGAAAGATGTTTGTGTACATGTATACCAGCTACTAGGATACAGACATTAATTGAGGAGTTAACTGACAAATGTTAAAGCTGAGATCCAGCTCTCTTGTGCTTACTATTTAACTCACTGACCTTGAAGTGGTTTTATTTGAGCTGTAGAACTCAGAGCATCCCAAGTACAAGGAACAGACAACTTACTTGCAAATATAATTCAAAGTTAAGATACTGTTTTAATGTGTTATACAGTCTTCATGCTTTTTATTCAAGTTATTATACTCTCATGCAAAAAAATGCAATTAACATAGAACTGGAAGCAATATTCTGTATGTAATGGATACACTTTAAAAGGCAGTGGATTGTAAAGGAGTGATATAGTGCAGGAAACAGAAAATGAAATGGGAGACAAATTGCAAGTGGAGATGTGTTCAGAAAATGTGTGGAAACCATAACACAGTCTAGATGGAAGAATGAAAAGACCTAAAGGATTTGAGCACAGTTAGCTGTTCTTTCAGAGGTTGTTTTTGCTTATTGTAATGCTCCTATGGAGACTACTGTGAAGCAATGCCTGACAGTCCAGAACTGAGAATTTCTTTTTTGTTATCAGCTGATTATAAATGAAATTACATTAAATAAAAAGCTTGCAGAGCCAGTTCATAACAATGGGGACACTGATAATCTTTACAATGCCATATATTTTGTTTAGTCCCGTAACTAAACCTAAAGCTTCTGTTAGAAATAAGAGTTACAACTCCTGTGCATGCAAGCCTTTGATAATATGTCTGGAGGCTTATTAAGGAGGAAAGAAGGCTCATCTTTAAGTCTGTGTCTGCAAAAATAATTTTTTAAAAGCCTTAGTTGCTAGAAAATTTGATGTGCTCTGACTATTTTTCATGAAACAGGCATTACAGTAAAAAGCAGGCGCCATTATAACTATGGAAAAGATGAGACAGTGTGAAAAGAAGCAAAATTATTTAGGATCAGAAGATACATATGGAAAAATATAGGAGTGAATAAGTGAATACTTAAAACTAGAAAAAGAAGAATATTATGCTGATGTGTCTGGTCAGCGACTATACTGACTAAAGCTGAAAAATCCCTGCAACATATAAGTGTATTACCAACTTCAGTTGCGCTGCAAAGCAGAAGTTTTGAAGAAAGCTTATTTTCATATGTTGCTACCATCAGTATCCTTGAATATGTCCTGAGAAAAGGATTTAAAAAAAATACTGGGTCTACAGCAGTCACCATTTGTAATTATGAGCTATTGCCTGAATCTGTTTGCGATGAAGCCACCTGTTTGCTCAGTATAAATAGCTTAGAATTTCCTGCAAGGAAATTACACGAAGCATCAATAAGGAAAGATATTACATTCTTAGGTCAATATGACTATCATTACTTGGCATATATCTTACTGATAACATTTGGCAGACAGTATCATAGAGGGCTAAAAAAATGTTACTCTGTATTTTGTTTTCAGGAATGTTAGCTTAGGTCTTCAGTAACAGCATTTATCCATTCTGCTTGTTTCAGTGAATCGCTTGGCATTTTCTTTTTCTTAGCATGTGTTGTAAAGAGGTTGCAGAGGCTTAGACCATCACTGTTTTTGGATGTAAATGTTTTACACGCTTCAAAACGTGACCTCTTCTGTTTGTTATGGATATGCCTGACTTTGTCACAAAGACAGAAAAAGGACAACTTCCTGCAGCCCTTTGTCCTCTTCTCTGCTCAAGTGACAAATATAGATTGGACCTAAGAAGAAACCTCAGTTTGCAGTAGTAGATGCTTATTTTTGCCTCTACTCAGAATTGATTTCTGGCTTTATGCTACTGGCATGAAGAGTTTCACAAAAGATTAGTTTTATGATTTCCCAGCTTGTGTAGTTATGCGTGCCTTTAAAACACAACCATCTATCACTCTATCTTTTAGAGTAGAAACTAGTTTCAAGTATCTTTTCTAGCAGTTAACATGGATATCTGGAACACTACAGTACTTGTTGTAAATAATACCATACCTGAACTTTGGAGAATGCTTGACAACTCAGATGTGATGATAAGACAGCTGTTACCAAGTGTTGACTTTTTAACATGGTGTTTACTTCATTTCAGATAAATCTCTCTCGTATCTTCTTAACTCCTAAGTAATATTTAGTTCTCATTAGATTTACAGTTAGCATTTTTTTCAGTAGTATTTTTCAGTAATTTCTGTGTGCTGTCATAGCATATGTACAAGAAACCTTCCACAGGGGCTATTTGAGTAAACTATTCATTTTCAGACTTCTTGTACATTTAAATAGGTGTTTATTTCATGTTTTTTTTTTTCTTTCCTTCTTTGTTTTCAAAAAGAATCCTTTTATCCTCAAAATCTGTCACTGAAAATTATGTACTAGTTATACTTACTGTGTGCAAGATAAATTTTAAATTAACACTGGTATTTAAAGTGCAAAACATATTTCAATAATGTGAAATACTGTGATCAGGGATTAGAAATGAATTTGCAGACCTTGCAACATAACTGTTTTTTATTCAGTTATAGGTGCCCAACGCAGGAGAAGTCCCAGTGCCCTTGCCATTGAAGTATTTGAATCTCATTTGGGAAGTCATATTTTACAGGTAAAAAAAAAAAGAAAAAAGAAAAAAAAGGCTTTTCCATGACAAAGTCAAAATAGCTAGTCAATCCTATTTCTGCCCATAATTTGAAAACTGTTGGTGTCAATATTTATAAAAAGTCATATTTCTTTCTTTTTAGAAAAACCCATGCTTGGGACAGTTTTAAGGAGAGGGAGGGCATGTATTGTGTAGATAAATGTTATTTTCAACTGTGCAGTACATGTCTGCTTGCAGAATGACTCTATGTTTTTGTGTGTGTGCATAAAACAGTATTTTTTGTTGTTTATTTCATTTTCCTTGTGTGTCATGTACAAATTTAGGGTGTTTTTCCCCCACTTTGTTTTATGAGCACTGCTTTCCTCTTTGATATCACATTTGTCATGATTATATATCACAAATCTGCAGCAATCTGTAAAGAGGAAAAATGAACAGCAGCATGCCTCTTTGGTTTCCTTAGCTATGAGATAAAAACTAATGAGATATTTGTCAAAGAATTTAGTCACACTGTTCAAGTAACTATATTCCAGGAGGATTACTCTGAAAAAAAAAAAAACAAAACACTAGTAACCTGATGGAGATGTTCTTGTGCATGTTTTGTTTTGTCAGGATTAGTACAACCCTTCTTACTTTGCAATAATCAAAAGTGAAGCAGAAGCAGTTAAGAATGTGAAGTGTTCTGTCAGCAAGGCAAAAACACAGCACTATAGAAATTAAAAAAACACCCTTTAGATGTAGCCTTTTCTAACTACAGCATTGAATAACTGCACTTATTTAGGAATGTACACAGCTTCTCTATGCAAATATATTGCTTGGTGTATTATCTTTTGAGAGGTAAATTAGGATATTATCATGAGAAATATTCCACTTAATTTGAAATGATTGAGAGCTATCTCTCTCTGTGTTACTTCAGCTGTGGCATCCAAAAGCACTGCAGAATATGTCAGATTTTTTACATCTTTTTAAAGTAACTAAATGCTGAATGGCAACAAAGATAATTTTAGGAAAACATGAAATTAACCACTAGAATGAATTTATCTTTGGAGCAAAAATCATGAATGAAGTTATTTACTTACTTGTACATCCTTGGCAGAGACATAGTTCAAGTTCTTGATTCTGTAACAAATATTTGTATTACAGATATGGTACCAAAGATATGCACCAGCATCTGCAGCACTGTTTGAATGTTAGACAGAAGTGCTGTTAAGTTGTCTTGTAAATGTAGAAAAAAAAAAGAATAAATAAATGTGGGTTTCATGATATTCCAATTTGTGTCATTTGTGTTTTGAGTATGTGGACATGCACTATATATCCTAGATGTATGCTTATTACAATATAAATTATAACAAGTATCTAGATAAACTCTCATTGGGAGTGATTTATTTATACTTGTTAGGTACTAGGTTTGACACTGTATGAATAATTCAGTTATAAGAAAAAAACTAAGTTGTCCACCTTGAAACCTACTGGACATTTCAATTTTTCACTGATTGTGTATTTAAGAATATATAGTGTTTTTATTACTTGTTTAAACTCGTTTAAAAAATATTCCACTATTGTTTTTATTTTTTCTACTTATACCTAATAAATTAGGGCGTTTTTTGGATATAACTTTATCATAGTGCTTGTAAGTAATCTATGTTGCACTTTTATCTGTAACAAATAGACTGAGAATTTTCAATATTTCAAGAATTCAAAATTACCATCAACATCTTACTGATTATCTGTTGAGGTGTTGCCTTTGCAGAGAGGGTGGTGCCTTTTATCAAATTACTCCCATTAATCTCCCAATTGATAATAGAAACTTACACTCTGACATTTAAAAGATAATAGACTGTTGGTGATGGATACAGGACAAAATGAATTAATAATATCACAAGTTTATCATGGTGTGTCAAAATCTGCTCTTATGTAGTAGAGTAGTCAGCACTTTGAAGGAAAATTTAGGTCTTGTGTTCAAATGCAGCAATTTAAAAGGATCTGAACTTTGAATAATTGCCTTGAGGCATTACAGGTAGAAAAATAATCTCAGGAAGATAGAAGATAAAATAACAACAACTAGATGGACTCTGCAATGTAGTGCTATTCTAACAAGTTCTTGTTTAATTTGCTGCTTATAGAAACGATTCGCAAAGCAGCATTATGATATGTATTGTTTGCAAGTGAAGTAAACTGCCTTGTAGAATAATTATACCTTTTGACTACCTCTGTTTTTTTGGAGTCTGCTATCTGAGGAAGTTGAACCTATAGCTTGTTTAATCCCTTTTGCTATTAATATTTTGAAGACTGGGTTAAGTGTAAGCTGAGAAATTAAGGAGCCTCTCTAATCCTCCTAATATTTTGATACTTCAAAATTTATTGACAAACATGAGAAGCATGCTTATAAAGGTGGATGTAATTTATTTATGATGATTTTAAAATAGAAATGGTGGTGCATCTTGTAATATTTTACATCTGACTTCTACAAGCAAGAAGTCTCAGCTGTGTCAGAAAATTCCTAGCCATAGCCAATTACAATTATATGTCATACTGAACAGATTCCTGTGGTAGGTTTACAGACAAGGAAACTATCCACCATGTGTTTACAGAAAAAAAAAAAAACCAACCCAAAACATGAATACCTACATGTTGTCATACAAGTATCTTCAAAGTCAGGGCAGAATACTTTTTAAGCATTTCCAAGCAAAATCACCTGAATAGAAAAAAGAGAAATGTTTGTAATAAGGGGGGAAGAAGGGGGAAGGGGGAAGGTAATGGCAATATGTTAATTATTTTTTGGTAAAATTTTTGGTTTGTCAGATTGCGTGCTTTGGTTAGCCTGCGTTTATCTTCTTCAGAATAGTGGTGTTATAGTGAAAATAGACTTTGATACATTTTCGGTTTTACATTTTTACGTATGTATCAGCATTTATTAAATAAATGTAGTAAAAAAGTATTACTTCCTCCCCCTGCTATTCAAAAATTTGATTGAAACTGGTTGTAAAAATGAAAATTATTGGTTTATATAAGGCCCCTGAATTTTTTCTGTAACTTCATTGCTACTGAAGAGGTGTGGAAAAGGGTCAATAACCCCATATTTTTCACATAATCAGGAATGATCAGGAAATGTAGAACTAAATATAGAGAAAAGGGAAAGTTAGTGAATATATTTGCATATGCAAATTAGCTTAATTGATACTGCTTGCCTCTACAGGGATTTTTCATTACAAACTGGAGTGCTACATTGTTCAGCTCATATTGAGTAATTTAGTAACTAATGAGACCAGTTTGCACTAATTTGCATATGATAAATGAGCTTAATTGCAGTAAATAACTTGGAGGCATAATTACTTAATTTTCCTGTGTTGCATGGCTTTTAAGTTCACGTATGAACAACTCAAGATAATTTTGCATATTTAAATTAGTTGCTTTTAAAATTCTTGAACAAAAAAGAATGCACCTTACAGTTTGAACTGTAAAACAACTAGAAGTAAAATGTGCTGTATTTTCAAATAAAATTCAATATTTATAAAAGATATTTCTTCGTTATAAATACTTCATCTTAAGGAATAAATATTTGGAATTAAACACAATGGAATAGCTTTTAAAGTCAGAAAAGGATAGAAGGAGGGTATTAGTAATATTAATTGAACTGTGTATCTGAACTGCAGTGAGTGGTACATTATGTATTCCTGCATACAGGAGTGATAACTTTTGTAATTGCATTCTTTGCTTCAACACCTATTCTACTGTTAAAAAACTGTAACACTTCCATATAGGGTTATATTACCATAGACAATAACTTAGACATTAGTTGCCTTAATTGCATGCACCATGTTCTCTCTTCCCATCTACTTACTTTTGTCTGAAGAAATCTTTAAAGCAACAAGATGCTGAAGTGCTGGAGTGCAGAAAACTTTTTTTTTTTTTTCAGATGTTGAGTGGTGAGCACTATTATTAGTAACCATTGTGATAGAGATTCCTACCAGAAGTTTATGCATGGTTGTTTTGCAAGCGGATGGCATAGTTACAAGCCACAAGAAAGAAACCACATACTTTAGGGATCCAGGAGTGTAGCGCTGCTCATAATTCAGAAAGGATACCTGTACTGGATGTGCAGTTGTACTAAGATACCTGAGCCAAGTCATCTGTAGAATGTTCAAGTGCTATTAGGTCCTATTCACATTGCAGCAGCCTCATTATCAGCATAGACTTGATCACGTAAGGCAAATCTAGAATGGGAGCACCATCTGAACTCCCTGAAAGCCACGTATGGTGCAAATGGTGTGGTTTGGCTTTATTCCATACAATGGTCCCAGGCTCTCCATGAATGTGAAGGGCAGTCCCGTGTTGGAGAAACCACAGGCTAATAAATCAATTGATGTATTATATTAGCTTTTCTGTACATAAGATAAACAAGAAAACTAACCACACATGGCCTATGAATGTAAGAAGCCTGATACATTGCCAGTCTTGTGAGCAAATGAAAAATGTCATTCAACAACTTTTGTTTTGTTTTAAAATATACTGTTTTTATTAATAATTGAGGGTAGATTTTGATTAGATGTAAGGAAGAAATTCTTTATAATGATGGTGATGAAGCACTGGATGTTTCCACTTTCTTGTGATTATGCACTTAAGGCAGTTTATGTATTGGTGTTTCCAAATACAAGAGGTAGAGAAGCAAATACACAATTTGAAAGAAACTTCCATATCAGAATTTATTCTCTGTTGTTCATGTGGGTCTTGTACTTAGTTATTAGTTTTGCAGCTGTGACTCTCTTTGAAGGACAATGTTATTCTATCAAGCTTGACATAGACAAAATGTAGAAAGAATTCACTATGCATCTTCGCTACAATATTTAGTCATGTTTGGAAGATGTTTCGATTTACCTATAACTACTACATTGAACATAACAAGACAGTGCCACTATTCATTTTCTCCTAGAGACAGCTTACCACAGTGCATGTGAGTAAAGATTTTCATGCATTGTAAATATGAATGTTCAGCATGCAGCATCTGTGAA